AAGTTAAGTGATTCTTAATTTTCATTATACATAAGTTTTAACTATACTTTAGTTGTTTAACCCATTAAAAAAACCATTTATACATTTATCTCTTCTTCAGACATTTCGATAAATTTTTTATTTATAATTAACGGTAGTTGTATCATTTTCTCTTCTCTTAATATCATTAAATTATATCTTTTTTTTCTGTCTCTGTCATATCATTTAGAGTGATTCTCAACATATTATATTTCAGTATTTTGCCCATTTAATTCATTTACTTATTTAGTTGTTTGGCATTCTCCATTTAGAATAACTTATATTGCATAAAATTTACCCATTTTTAGAGAATTTTTTCGGTCGAAAATGTGACTATATGAGTATTTCTTTTTCCTCCGCAATGATGTCATTCAACAATTTTTTGTTTAACATTTAGTTTTTTAATTTAGTCTTATTTGTTATTCCAATACATTTAATGAGGGTATAAAAAATATTCCAATACATTTATTTGAACGATTGGGTTATTAATTTGTGTACAAAATCTATGGTGTCTTTTATTTTGAAATAGAAGTAGTTTGAACTTTGAAGAGTATTGTGTATATTTTTTAAAATCAGTAAATCTCATCATAGAAAAAATTGATATATCTCATTATTGGAAAAATCACGTTGATGTATCCAAAATTCCATTTGTCACCCTGTACTTAAAACACTAAATACAACCAAGCGTTTACATTAACTAAAAAAAGAAAGAAAAGAAACAATCATTTTGTCTTCCCTAATCTACAACCACCCCAGTGGCCGATTCACCTCAACATCTAAATACACATCTGCAGTGGCCGCCGGCCAAATTCAATCCGTACATGACCATTTCGGTTAATTTTAATGTGAATCTCCCAAGCCCCTCAAGCACACTATGAAAAAGATTGAAAATTTTCGCTTCCTTAAGTTGCATATGCAACATTAGGATTTTCCATCAAAGGGGTTCGTGCTTTTGCCGGGTATATAGTTCTGCTGTGCAGCCTTATCGAATGGCCATGAAGTACTCCACGATTAGCAAGCTCACCTCGTAGTCAATTATACTTATTACCAGATGCTTCACCATTGTGTTGCTAATGGCTCCTTCGATGTGCTGATACCATAGACACCCCATTTTGCTCCACTCCGGACATGTAACTCATTTCATTCCTTATTATAATCATCATGATACCTGTTCGACGTTTATGATCAATCGTCAATCAACGGGAATTGAAAGTTGACAAAGTTTCATGGTAAAACAGAGGAGATTCATGAACCAAAGTTTTTAATAGAAATAATATGATGAGAATCATATACCCTTCCATGGTGATTCTCCTAGTGAGGGAAATGAGCTAGTCCTTCATTCTAGTTTTGGAATGTCAAATTTACTTTGCAGACCAATCAAGAAAGAAATGATGGATCTCGACTACCTATGTGATAGGGAGTTGGTTCAAGAGAGCTATGATCAAGATGATGAGAATGTCATTAACTTTGGGGTTCAAACCAAAAGAGATGATTCACTCATGGAAATAAGTACTCAAGAGTTTCAAGGGAGTTTGACTCTAGGTGCTCCATGAAGATCATTGATCAAGCTAGAGAGAAGAGTCATTTAGGTTCTTGAATGGACGGCCTATTTGGTCAAAGTGTTCAAGATTGAGTCCATTGCTACACAATTAGATAGGTTGCAAACTATCTCAATTGTTTCAAGTGTTTTTCCAATCTTTTGGAGTCAATAAAGAGAATTCTACAAGTTTTGGAGTAAATTGGAGTTATCTACAACTTGAGGGGCGCAAGACCAATATTCTACGTTTGGAAGGACGTTCAAGATAATTTACTTTAATATTTGGAGCTGATTTTTGGATTTAGAGTATTATCTAGTCTAGGAGTTAATTTTCGAATTTATCTAGTCAAGATAAGCCATGTGGGCTGAATTAAACTAGAGTATTTTGATTAGAAGTCTTAGATTCATTCTAAGTATTATCCTATTTGAGAATAAATCATTTAGATAAGGTTTCCTAGATTTTAGATAGAGTCAAAAAGATCAAATACTCTTCTACTTCTAGCTGAATTAAACTCTCATTAGATAAGATTAGAGAGTCCTAGTTGGTCTTCTTTTTTGGTGCTTTGGATGAAATTGTTAGCCTATAAATAGGGGAGGATGGCCGAAAGTTAAAGCACCCATGTGTGGTCATTTTGAGTCTTCTCTAATGAGAGTTTTTCCTGTGAGGAATTTTTGTTAAATGGTGTGTCCATTTTTCGTGTCAAGTATAATTTAACCAAGAGAGTTTTCATTTTGTCTTGGATCCTTTGATCTTGCAGAAACCGTTCTTTTTTAAATATGCTTCTTGATAGAATTGTTTTAAAACTAAACTTCTTATTTTCATACTACTTCTAGTAGTTCGAGAGTTGAGCCTTTCTTTTGGCTATGGTTTTCGAATTCATGATGTGTGTGTTCATGAGTTCTTTTGTGGGGTTTGTCCTACTTTTGCTGGATGAGTTATGCTTAGGCATAAGCATTTTGAGATAGTGTATGTGTTGCATATCTTTGTTTGTTATAGAGATTACTAATCAATAATATTCCTTCATAGTTGAGCATTGTTTGCTCCTACCTTTCTTGAATCTTTTGAATGATGACTGATCGAGTATATTGAATGGTGTCCTTATTATTCTTAGTGTGGGTTATTGTTTAATTCGAATCTTTCATAGATTATTTGTTCTTTGCTTGGTTTGAGTTAAGAGATAAAATTCCTTAGATAAACGATCGTCTTACTGTGAATTTTCCACACTCTTTTGAGTTTCACGGGGTAGACAAATTATCTTCGTACTTTCTTGTTTGATGGTTGCATTACCGAAATTTATTTTATCTACAAGATTTCTATCACAATGACCACCTGTTGATCTCTAATCCGTTTCTTAATGTTAAAGTTCTGGCAAGCCAACGATCCATTGAGCCGGTGGTAACACTTAACACCCAGGGAATCCCGTTATACAATTAATCAATTGCTTATTTATGCAATAGAATACTTGTGACTTATAAGCGCTTCAGGATGCATGGTGCAAGTATATACATTCGTGGTTGCAACTCTCACAGAAGATTGAAAAATTCTGTGACCCAAAAAAAATTTCGAAGTTCCAAAATAGGAAATTTGAAATTCACAGCATCGACCCATAGAGATGATTCAAATTCAATTGACAAACAATTAAGATAAAAAAAAAATTAATCAAGGAAGGATGAAAATTACATGTCTAACAGCGTGTGGTGTAGGAGAATATGTCAATTATGGGGATGTTCTTTTCAACAGAGAGCTCCGATGAGCAAGACATCAACAAAAATTATATGGATATAGGGGTTGCCAGAATTAGGGTTTGACGTTGTGGACGACGTGAAATGGATGGATTATTTTCCTATTTAAACTTCTCTTCTTCACGGGCAACTCATCAACTTTTTCTTCAATTAAGCCTGCAAGAATTTCTTGATACAAATCATTATTTCATCATTAGTAACTCATAGCCAATTAAAAAGAAAAAAAAATAATACAGTAACAGAACAAAAAAAGTTAAGAAAGAACAGACAATAAAAATCTTTTATGATCATAATGGATAACATCAAGTTCAGCAAATAAACTCAAGTTCGAAATCCATTTATACCGCAGCCACCCTATTCCTTTGTTTTTTCCCGCATCTGGTTCAAATTATATAGTTTTACCCATGTTGTCGTAGGCGGAAGGCCACAATTGTAACCATTTGTTGTTCACAATGAATTGAAAATCAGAACTGCAAATACAGGATGAACATTGTATCAAACAAGATGAGCATCATATAAAACCGGATGAGCATTGTATTTAACAGGCTGAGCAAGACACTCTCAGAGGATGAACATCACAGGATGAACAATAACTCATATGAAATGAGCAAGACACTCTCAGAGGATGAACATGACAGGATAAACAATGATCTATATGAAATGAGCAAGACACTTTCAGATGATGAACAATCATATATTTGAAATGAACAACTAATCATCACAGGATGAACATCATCTGTCAGATCGTTTGAGTCTGACAATTCATTTCTTACAGGTTTGACTCTCATTCTTCTGCTGTAACAATTGATGGATGAACATCAGTAATCTTAAAATTCATATATGCACAAGAATAAGCCCCAAATCGCGAAAAACTATTATGTCGATAAAACTCTAAGTACTTTAAACGATGTTCGAGTTATTTCAATAATTGAAAATAATAAATATAGGTAGAAATACAAAAGTTTGCTGGAGAAAAATATAACAGCAAGCAAATTCACACCGAAGAAGTTTAGATATACGAATATTCGACGGAAAAATAAAAATAGAAGAAAAAAAAATCACCATAGTTTATGGATTTTGCAGAGATATATCGTGAAGATGATGATATGTGATGAAGATATACGGATTTGAACGCAGCGATTTGCCGGAATGAGGTTTCAAAGATTTTGGGTGAATTTCGCCGGAAGAAATAACGATGTCGAGAGAAGATTTGGGGAGAAAAGCCTGGATTATTATTTTTTTTCTTTAGAAAATTATGCCTATTTATATTTTTTTTGTGCGGTGTCATTTTTGTAATTTATTGTAAAAAGTTGGGTGCAAATGCAATATGTGATATTAAAACTCGAAACTCCCTAACTAAGGAGCTCCGGGTGTCCAGTATATTAATTGGTTGTCGCAGCCTGATTTTCGTCTTTAATGTATGTGCAATACAGAAATGGGATCTATCTTTATAAGAATTCATCCAATTTATGTTGTTCAGGACACCTCACAAAAACAGAGTTCACAAATTTCTTCTAGAAATATTAAAAAGAAAATTGAATATACAGAATCTTTCTTATGTTGTTCAGATCACAGTTAACTTATTTTAGGAAACAGATAAGACAATCGAAGCCAACACAATTCAGGGTCGCCGTCGACTTAAAATTGATTCAGAATTTCACAAGCCTCCACGCATACTTCACCAGCGCCGTAATCAATAATCTCAGCCCGGAAATATCTCGAATATCAAATCGGAATCCGTGGCTTCAAAAGCCAGAAAATAAGTCCTCAATCCACGATCATATGTTGAGGTTACATCCACAAGGTTTTCAAATTCGAATTTTGTGCCTTCGTTTGAATTGAAACCCTTCATCACGTTAATGGGCATCTTCAAAAATCGAACTCCAAGTTCTTCGACGATATACACCGGCGCCGCCTTATCAACGACCGTGGAATCATCGTCGGCCCCTTCCGACGAATTCGTTGCAGGATCCGAGAATCTGTAATCGTCATCCGACCCACATTTATCTGACTTGAGCGGCGGCGAATCAACGGAATCATCTGATTCATAGTAATCTAACATTGAATCTGAGGGAACCTGCAACGAATCAATAATCGACTTCGTGTTTTTCTTCTCCAGAATCAAATATTCCGAAACTTCAGTAGAGTTCTTCTCGTGTTCTTCATCGCCATCACCATCGTACTCTTCTTCTTAGGTTTCCTCTGAGTGGAGCAGCCTGACAAAAACCTGCCGCCGCCTTTAGCCATTGTCGAAGTCTTGATTTTTCGAAGGGTTAAGAATTGTGGAGATTTTGATGATAAGAGGTAATGTAATGAAATAATGAATTGCGGTGAGTCAGGGGCTGTGTTTATATATAGTAGATTATAACGTTGTGTTTTCCTAATCTAATTTGGAATGGGAAGTATCCGTTTCCCGTCCAGCAGCGCTGGACACCCTTGTTGTATAGCCTGTAGGGGCCAAAATCAGTCGGAAGTTGTTGAAGCCCATGGCTCCAAATTATTAAAAAATAAATAAATAAAAAAAGGAAGTATCCGTTTCCACCGACCCTATTAAGTTCCTTGTAGCAAAATGGGGAACTTGCTAGGTAACATATTAAAATAACACTGATTATTGGACGATATATTTTTATTAAAAATGAAGCCAAAATTATAACTTCATCCTTTGCACACAAAAAAAAAAAAAAGAAAAAAAAAGAGTTCACATAGAATTTTAAAATTTGTACTACAAATCTTAAAATTTAGTATAATTTTTTTTTTTTTTTTTGGATAGATAGAATATAACAACTAAGTCGACTTAAGTTTTACTCTTTCTCTCCAAAAAAAATAAACTACTTCGTTTTATAAAGGAAAATAATAATAGAATAATTACTTATAACTGTCTCATAAGAATCTATCCAATCAAAAGTACCACATTACTAATAGGGAGTAGATGGGTTAGGTGATAAAAGAATCAAATAAAAAATTTTGTAGATGTTGGTTTTGCAACTCGCCTTGTTAATAACGCATTTATGGATAACAGCTTTCATACTATAATATAATATCAACAAAATGCTAATATGAAGATCGGAAGGATATAAAACAGAACAATTTCAACGTATTACCACTAGTAGTAGAGTAAATCCACTAGTCACTAAATTACATATATGGCCATTTACATTTCAAAAAAAAATGTTCTCCATAAAACCATAGCTAGATTTGGTTCCTTATATTTCAATATTGTTGATATTTTTGGTAAAAAGAAAAAAAAAACACTCATAGAATTAGCTATAGTCAGATGCATGCTTATTTAGGATAGCATCTTTGAAAAGGCATTTCAAAGCTTGTAAAACACAAACGCGCAGATCAAAACAACAGCCTCAGCCATCAAACTTCAAACCCGACGAGGCCTTGGAATGGATCCAATCTACCCAATTTAAAATGGTTTCGTGCGAGTGTGGTATGGATTTCAATTCAAACACCTTCTGGTTCCTAAAACCCGAATGTTAATTTCGGGACTTAATTCAAACACCTTCTGGTTCCTAAATCTCTCGCTAGGTAACACAAAAACAGAGTAATAAAACGAATTCTTCTCATTTGGCAGCCACTACCAAACAATCGCTTTTAATAAATTTTTTTCACCCCTGCATTTCAGCGAGAACATTTTTACCGTGATCCAAACTTGTAGGATTTGAGAATACAACATACTTATTTTACACACAGAACACACTACAAGTGCAAAAAGTAAAATGTTTCTAGGTCAGTATCAGACAGTATTTGATTTGATTCGGCGATTTTGGGAAGATGGACCGTTGCAGCTTATTGTAGCTACTAGTGGTCTGTGACAGTATGAATTAGGAGAACACATAGAAATTGAAAGAAAAACCTTAAAAACATTTCCTAATAATCAGAAGAACATAACGGAATGTGAAAATATATCTTTAATATTTTTTTTCCAATAAAAAAGACTTTTGAAGTGAAATATAGGACAAATTAAAATGTCTTATAATAAGGACCAGAAAAAGTATCTAATTGTAGCAGGTTATTATATTATAGAAAAAACATAGCGGTTCACATCTGAACACACTGAAATTAATCATGTACGACTCGTAATCGCATGAGCATCAGCGGAAATACAAAATATTATTATTGTTACTATCACCAGCTTTCAAATAAGTCCTTTCGCAGTCATTTCTTCATATTTTAACTATAATCTTAATCTTTTGTTTTTATTCTTGCTCTAATCTTGTAATAATCTGAAATAAAAGAAAAATAACACTGATGAGTGTTAACTTCGCGGGATAAATAGTACAGCTTTTTATCTTCTTCCTAGTTTAAGTTAGTTGAATTTAGTTAAGCACAGAGTATTTCTAAGTTACTTTTGTACTTACTCGTGATCAGGGATTAAATTGTAAAATGGTGAAAAAAGTGGGTAAAAATTAAGTGAAACAACAAACTTGGTGATTGGACTTGAAGGTTGATTTCTGCAACAAAGTGCAGGACCATAGCTGAAGCTGGAAATCCGATCCTGAAGAGCCAAAAAAGGACCACTTGGAGACCGTAAATTTCTACGAAAGAGGCAAAAACTTTGAGATCAAGGAAGAAGTGGATCACGTATTTAATGTGGTCCTAAGTAATCAAAATAAACGATAGCAAAGGTAGCTGGAAATTCACTTAAGAGCCAAGAGGCAATAATGTAGTCATGCAATTGAGAGGACATGGCTGCTTTACATTGAAGATCAGGAGATGTTGCCGCTCTATAAAGGGAAAAGAGATGATCATTCTTAAGAAAATGAGAGAGCATAGCTTAGCATAGAGAAATTGGGGTAAAATTAAGAGGAGAGTGAGGTTAGAGCTCTGAAAAAGAGCAACTCAGGGAAGAACAGCAGATGGCCACTTAGGTGTGTAGAGATTCGACTCGGCTAAGTTGATTAAGTGCAGTAAAAAAGTCTGAGTCTTTCAATCTCTTATGTATTTACTTAGGTTGTAATTATGTTTTGCACTTTGTTCTGGATTTTGTGTTTAAACTACTAAGTATGAGTAGCTAAATTCAATTTTGGGGTTGAATCCCTCTTTCTTTGTGATTTACTTTGGATTTGCATTAATTCGGATGATGCAAGTGTTCCCAAATTTAATGTTTGAATTAACTTTGTGTTTAAACTGATCAAATAATCACTTGGGATTACATATTGTGTGAATCTCGAGGGTAATTATAGTTTAGAATGATTAAATCTAGTCTGTGACTTAGAGGTAGCAATTTAAAGGTCCAAACAATATCGAAAGATACTTGTTTGGCATGGATGATTATTGAGACTTTACCTTTTGATGGCTTTGCGTGATTTAAACACTTTACTCGGAAGTGACCTTGAGATATTTAAATGTCTGATAAAATACACTTCATACCAACTGTAATGCATAATCTACTATAAAATCTATATAGGAAGAGAGGAGGATACCCCAGACTCTTCACTAAGCCAAGCCACAATCTCACTTAACTAGAGTTTTTTACCAAAATAATTTTCAATAGAAGGATGTGGACAAAAATTTATGTTCTGAATTGGGATAGACAAATCTAGTTTCTCGGATTTGGCAAATCCAAAAGTACATAGATGCGGATTTGGTAAATCTGAATCTCCTTGGAGTACAACTATCTCATGAATCATTTCTATGGGGTAGATTCGGATTTGGCTTAAACCCTAATACAAAACTAGATGCTTGGCCCAGGCAGATGTCCGGGCGCCCCCTCTACTTTAATTTTGTGTTAATAGATAAATGAATTTTTGATTTAGAAAAAATAAAATAGCTACACATTTATTTTTTCGCTTTTTTAGCCAAAAATAAAAATAAAAAAAAAAATCATCTGCAAAAGGAGAAAAAATATTGAAAAGTACTCCGATGCAGAAATCATACAAAAGAATGTGGAATAATAAAAGGGATAATTTTATGGATAAATTTAAATTCTATCTTAATTTGATTGATAAATGATAAGTGTTAGGAGTTAAAATTATGTGGCTATTTTTGTAAATTAGCTTTTGTTTTTCCGGATAAGAAGTTTTTTTTTTCTTTTAAAAAAGGATGACACGTGGCAGAATGGTTAAAGCAATATGGTGCATTTGGAGCCAAAATTTTTTAATAAGAAGTTGTCACATCAACATCCTGTATTCTGCTTTAATAGGGTAAAAGGGATGGGTAGATTCGAATTTGGCGAATCCGAGACAACTAGTTTTGTCCACTTAAAATAAAATAAAAAAATCATTTTTATCCACCTCTTTTTTAAAAAAAATTTTTGGCCGAAGCACCCCACTTAGCTAAACTGTATATTTTCTTCATTCTGTTTATTACTCTACTATTACTCTATTTATGTGACACCCACTTGCGTAAGTAGAAAATCCGCTCATGCAAGTCACTGGTTTCTTTGTTTTAGACATTAAGTTGTTTTACTGTAAACTTTTCAATTCAAATTTATGCACCACTTTTGTAGATCGACCTGATTTATCATTATGTACAGTTTTAAGTTGGTTTATAAAGTTTCTTTCTAGTCCGGAATGACAACTTGTTGCGACCAAACCCATAACTAGTTCACAAAATATTAGAAAAAATGCAAATTTCTAGTTAAATAAACCGTAAAATATTAACACAAATACTTCCTTACCATTGGGCTATTAGTAGAGCTAAATAAATTATTGTTTCGAACCACTGTACAGAAAAATAGCTTGGACACATGGAAGAAAATCAAATTGAGGCAATTACTGGTTGTTACAAAAAGGTCAAAGTTTAATTATTAGACAATTAATCTCTGTAATTAAAAAATGACCATTTTATTCGTAATGTGATTATTGTAAGTGGCTAGGAATGTCATTCAAAAAATTAAAAATAGGTAAATGCTTGTATTTTGTCCGTGAAGTCGGTTTGGAATGAAATCTAACTTTAGTTGTGTGGCTTGAATGCATATGAAAATAAGCAAGTTTGTCTTTCCCGTCATTCTAGTAATTGTCATCTGTCTTTACTTTTCCACAAAAAGAAAAAAATTATTAATAAAATATTTTTGATATTCCAACAAAATTAATACTAATCAAGTAATGGAGGATATGCATTAATTTCTTTTATAAAAAAATAAAAGTAAAGTCATATAATTAGGATTTTAATTTTATGGGTAAGATCGACACATAATATTTGCTTTAAATTTCATAATTAGAATCTATGTTTTTTTGATTATGTGAGTAGTTAACGTCAAGATCAATGTAAGGTCTGATTGAATATAATAAATAATTTTAATATCGAAATATGGTTAAAAATTTAATTTAATTTAATTTAGTTACAAATTTTTTTTTTACATTTTAATGAAAGACGAATTGGGTGATGATATGTGGCTTAATAACCTTAAATACCCTCAATGTTGACTGCATGCTCACTTCAGAAAAGCTTTTCTTGGTTGTAGACCAAGGGAGATAGCCCATTATTCTAAATATAGGAAGGCGGAGAATTTTTCATTGGAGCGCCAGGGTATTCCTGTCATTGAAGTCAGATTGTGGGAGTAGGCATTTCTGAATAAGAACAAAAGAACGATATGTAGGAATTGGATATTCTACTTTAATATATATATATATATATTTATACTGCAAAATGAAAATTCAAATTTGATAATTATTTTAAAACAAAGGACGTATGAAATAATAAATGACTAAACTGCATAAATGGTCGCCTACATTTGGTTGGATTTAAATTTTGACCCCTACATCAACATATATATGGAACAACTTTTATATTTCATTTTGAAACTATTTTGGTCAATTTTCATTGTTCTGTCCCAATTTTCGTCATAACAGAATAGTGAAAATAGAGCAAAATAGTTCAAAATGAAATGTGAATGCTCACTTCATATACATATTGACGCAGGAAACCAAAATTTAGATTTGCCTAAATGTTGAAATCATTTATGTAGCTTAGTCTAAAGTTCAAACACGAAATTATTTTCTAGGTTACTTTACATTCACTCAAATAACTTTTCCCATATGATTTTTCTTGTGAGAAATTCATGTCACTAGACCACTCAATCTTTCTGGAAGGAAAACTAGGTCCAATGTTTCGAGAAAAAAAAAGAAAAGAAAAACCACTAGGTCCAACACTTCTCACATTTACAAAAAAACATAAATCTAAGTCTAACACTTGTCACATAATAAAAAAAATAAATCACAGTTGACTTTTGTATTTCTTGTTAACTATTTAATTAATTAACCAACGTTTTAGTGTTGTTCTCCGTGTCTCTTCCGAATCTGTGCCGCGCCCAGTTTTGAGGCGGGTGTCTGTCGACGTGGCGCTCCCTTGTCTTTCTCCCATCCAAGGAAAAAACACAAAAGATTAACAACCTAAGAACCATAAAGAATCAAACATCACTTTCAAAGAAAAAGGAAAAGAACAAAAAAAGAAGAAGTGGCAGAGAGAGAGGGTTAGGGCTTTCTCCCAAATCGACTGCAAGATTTCCCTCCCGATTTGAATAGCCCTAAACCTCTCTTTCCAAATCTTCTCTTTCGTCGTCAACCTAGGTCATCCGTCGTCGTCGTCCATGCCGGATTATTATCATCAATAATTGATTTCTGTAATAAATAATAGAGAAGAAGATGAGTGGTCAATTGGCGCCAGCCCCACCGGCTCCTCGCCGGAACAGTGCGGCGCACAAACGCAACAATCCGTCTGCTGCTCGGAAATCCTCTAATCCATCGGAAAATGGTTCCGCCAATGCTAATAATGGCTCCCTCACCAAGCCTACTTCCCCTACCAACTCGTGAGTCAAAATCATTTATCGCCTTCCAGATTTCTTCTTGATTTGGCGTTTTATGTTTGACTCCTGTATGTGTGGTATTTTCATGTCTATTGCAAATTGGATGACCAAACAGGGGGAAGGTATTATTGGGATTATTATAGATGCTTGAGTTTTGTGTAACCATGAAGTATTGCACTTTGAGCCAACTTCCTTTGCCTTTTTTCTTTTTGTCCTTTCTTTCTTTGTCTCTTATATTTTTGTGTGCGTTGTTTATAATGACGTAGTGAAACGCTCAATTACAAGGTACAAAATGATATTGGAAGTGTATTTTGCATTTCCAAGAATAACGGCTGCTATTTCTTTATTCTCTTTCCTTTCTTAGCCATACACATTTGCAAGTGTTTTGTGTTGTCTATATCTGGATTTTGTAGAATCTAATGTGGCTTTATGATGTATTGATAATCTCGTGGATGGTTGTAGGACCGCAGTAGGGGAAAGAACAGTGAAAAAGCTAAGGTTATCGAAAGCACTTACAATTCCCGAAGGTACAACGGTATCTGATGCTTGTAGGAGGATGGCTGCTAGACGTGTTGATGCTGTTTTGCTGACTGATGCAAATGCCCTGCTCTCCGGCATTGTTACTGATAAGGTTACTTTTTGCTAAACAGTGCGACGTTGTGCTCATGTTTTCTGCGTTACTTCTTTCATTACTAAAAATTGTGCATCTGACTTAATGGCATGTGGTTGATTAGGCGACCCTTATGAAGTTGGTTAAGGGATAAGAATGGAATTTGATTGTAAACAGTTTCCTGGGGAGATTGTTTTGATAATTTTGGTAAATTCTTGGAGCTGCCAGATAGAGTTTGTCGCTCCAGTTGAATTGGGGAATTTGTGGAAGTAAGGGTGGAGGGGTTAACTGTGCTTAGTAAATCCGTTTTTGGCAAATTTAACTTTCCTTTCGATATGTAGGATATTGCTACAAGAGTTATAGCCGAGGAATTGAGACCAGATCAGACAATTGTTTCAAAGGTGATGACAAGGAACCCTATTTTTGTGACTTCGGATTCATTAGCCATTGATGCTCTTCAGAAGATGGTCCAAGGTAATATTTGATGCGATGTCTTTGTAAACCCCTTATGTGGCTCAGTTTGAGACGCTTCAGTCATTGTTGCTTACTGCTGGCACCTGATTTGTTTTGTTCTCTGAAATCTTTAATTCCTGGCTTCCAAGAATTATATAGTTAATAAATATTGATTTTCACATGTGTGAACAAAATAAGAGGCAGTCATGGGTGATTGTGGCATGAACGTGAGTATTTGTTTGAGATCAATGTTGGAGTTCATGAGACTGATGCTCATTGCAGCAGACATGGGGCAAAGATTCTTCCACCTGTTCAGAATATTTTGATTTTTTGTTCGAAGTTATGGGAATGTTGCTGATAATTTGCTATTACATCTATAAGTTTTAGAATTCAGTTATTATCGGCTGAACTGAATACAAACATACACAGGTCTTAATTCCCTCTTTATTGCTTGTGTCACTTTGCTGTAATTTTATGTGACTTTTAACTTTGTTGAAATTGATCCAACTTATGTTAAGGGCATCTCTTTTAAAATTGTTGTACTAGTTCTATGATTTTTTGCACGGTGATTGTCTTATGTTTTAAAATTTTAGGCCATTTTGTGCTTAGTTGTTGACCTTCTTTTAACTCTATGATCGTCAACTTGATCTTTTAGGGTTAAATTCTTTTCCTCATGTTTCCTTTGCAGGAAAGTTTCGTCACCTCCCTGTTGTTGAAAATGGAGAAGTCATAGCTTTATTGGACATCACAAAATGCCTTTATGATGCTATATCCAGAATGGAGAAGGCAGCAGAGCAGGGAAGTGCTATTGCAGCCGCTGTAGAAGGGGTGGAACGTCAGTGGGGAAGTAATTTTGCCGGTTAGTTCAATGTGTGATGAGTTTCAAAGTTGCATTTATTTATCAGTGTTGAGAATGTTTGGCAGTTTGGCAGTGACAGAAGGGAATTTTTTTGTGGGCACCTGGTTCCAAAGAGAAATGATTTTAATCGTCCATTTCTTTCCACAGCCCTCTAGTAGTCGTTTGACTTCAATGATCTATATCCTTGATGCGTCATTATGCATGCGGTGATTTCAAATATGTTCAAACTTTTACAAATCACACCTAAATGAATCCTTTGAATCTTGAACTTCAGTGCTGCAGGTTAAGACACCTTCTTTGCATCTCCAACTAAATACATGGAATGTAACCATTAATACTCTTTGAGGGGGACCTATAAGAATTTGGTCCCAATGTTAGAGTTTGTGGTTGCAGAATAGGACTGAGGATGCTTGCGTTCGGTTGATGTCCAATTTAAAATCACGCAACATTGCAGTTCAATAAAAGCTTAAAGGGTCTTTTCTTCTTGGACTATGTTGATACTTAGTTCATACCTTTATTGTTTTGTCATTAGTATGCGGTCCTGCAATGCTGAGTCCATGTAACATGGGCATTAATAGATTAGAAATAAACAGAAATACAGTTGAGTTTGTGTGGGCATTAGCATAGGAGGCCTTCAGATCCCCCAGCATGAGTGTTGAAAATTGAGTATTGTTAACTCAGATTGGAAGGAAAGTGAAAAGTCTAAATGGATTGCAAAGGAACATTAAATGGCAGCATTTGCTCAAATTTAAATAATACCACTTATTTTGTTTGAACATGATGCCCATTTTTCATTTAATTAGTAGACTTTGCACATTTCGATAGAGACTTCCTTGTTGGTGCTTAATTTTATGCTTTGAATTCACTTTTCCTGTTGTTATGTTTCAGCCCCATCAGCTTTTATTGAGACACTTAGAGAGCGCATGTTCAAGCCGGCGTTATCGAGTATCATTGCTGAAAATGCCAAGTGCGACCAAATTTACCCTTGTACTTCTGTTTTACTTCGGGCACTATTCCTTTTGCTTTTTGTTGACTCTTTTTCCGAAGGATTCAGTATGCTTTGTTCTTGATGTTAGGGTTGCAATAGTATCGTCATCAGACCCTATCCACGTTGCTGCTAAAAGGATGAAAGAATTGCGTGTTAACTCTGTCATTGTTATGTCTGCAAATAAGATTCAGGGGATATTAACGTATGCTTTCCCATGCTTTAGATTTCTTCATTTATCCTTTTTATTTTTCTTTAAATATTTTTTGGTCACAACTCTTACGAGCTTGTCCATACTGATAATGGCTTCTGCATTGCAGTTCAAAAGATATCCTCATGCGAGTTGTTGCCCAAAATCTATCCCCGGAGCTGACTCTGGTGGAAAAGGTGAGGTTCCTGATTTTTTCCAGATGGTATATCTTTATTTAGTGGTTGTGCTTCATGATAAACAAACGACCCAATCAGATCTGATCTTTAAAGGTGCAACTTATGAATTTTTCAACTTGAAATTTGCCCCTGCTGTTTGTTATTGTAATATTGGTTTTCCCAATGTTATTCATCTTTGCTGAGTTTCTTAACCTAAAATCTTAGCACTTGTTTGATGTGAAAGCTTGCTTATTCTTTATTTGGTTCCAGGGGTGTCATGTGCCATGCTTGTTTAAGTCTTTATCTGTTTATCAGATGGGTGGGATGGGGGGTTTCTTGAGGTTGCTCGTAGTTTCTTCTTGGGAACTCTACCCTCTACGAAAGAATTTTTGATTCGGAAATATGGGCCAGGATCTGCCTATAGGAACCAAAATGCCCTTATTTCTGCCATTTTTGTAGTGATTAATTTAATCTTTGACAATTTTTACACCTGAAATCACAGATTAAGTGGAGTCTGAAATTTCGTGTTAAGAAAAATGCTTCCTTTGGTCCCATGTACTTGCGGAGTTAGTTTGTTGTCCCTTTATCATGTCATTTTAGTGAAGATATCATCAGGATTTGAATTGTGCTCCTATTAGTGAAGCTCCATTCAGTTCAGTTAGTTGCAGGGTTTAGTGCTATGTTACATGGCCGTATCCATTGAAAAGATCTCACCGAACGTGTGCTAAAGAAATACTGCCGGACCATTATATTCATTTGTAATTGTTTCATGGAAAGCCTAGAAGCCGTGATCCTTTTTCACCATTCTTTATTTGAATATGTTAAGAATTCAGAAAAAGAAAAAAAGTGAGGGGAAGAAAATGGCTCATTGGTAGCTTGGAAGTGTTTATGAGCAGGAAAGGGTAATAGAAAGAGATCAACCTCTTTCACGGGGAAGAATTAGATTTTTACTTTAATACTAAGTGCTTTAATTATGAACACATTTCAACCCCAAGATCCAATCTCGCTCAAATGTTAGTATTATTATATGCTTGACGTTTGAAATTTTACCTTTTCCTTTCTAGCCTTTCCAATTGCTTCAGGTGTAGCACTTTCATTTTGCTGTGATGATTTTTGGAATGAAACTATCTACTTTGTATTGAAATTTGAAAACCCTTTTTTATAAAATACCTTTCTTATTTGTTTAATTTCTTGTTTGTATCTACTTACAACTAGATTATAGGTGTGACATCTTACAAAATCAAGCGCGATTTGTAGTTTGAAGGTAGTTTGGTTATGTGTCTTTTCCTATTCAGGATGGCCTGGGAGCCTTGCATTTTTGATTCATTTGCATGTCCTTTTCAGAATCATTTTCCCTGAAGGAAGATATTAATGGATTGTTCTGAGTATTCTCCTTTCCAGCTTCTAATGTTGATTTGTGATAAAATTTTCCCTGAAGGTGATGACACCAAATCCTGAGTGTGCCACACTAGATACAACTATCCTTGAGGCGTTGCACATAATGCATGATGGAAAGTTCCTACATCTTCCTGTAGTGGATAGAGGTGAGTTTTGATGACTAACCTGATAGTTGGCTTTAAGAATTTTATGCTCATTGGCAGCTTTTCTGGCAGATGGTTATGTTATTGCCTGTGTGGATGTGTTGCAGATAACTCATGCAGCTATATCTATGGTAAGTGAATGCAAAAAAATTGAAGTACATCAATAACATTTGCGATGCAGAAGCTACGTTTTTGTGTTAGTTTTTCATAACTTCTTTTTCCCTGAAACTTCTCCTCTTAAGGTTGAAAATGGTTCTGATGCGGTGAGTGATGTTGCAAACACTGTTATGCAAAAGTTCTGGGATTCTGCATTAAATATGGAGCCTGCAGATGAATATGATACTCAAAGGTACAATTTTTTTAAAAGTTTACTTACTGTTACTTATGGTAAAGTTTAGTGCTAATTACCACTTTATTCCTGGTGTAGCGAGCTCTCTATGTCTGCATTAAACACATCAGATGGTACCGAACATGGGAAATCTCCGTATCCATCTCTAGGTCTTGGGAATAGTTTTTGCTTCAAATTTGAGGACTCGAAGCATCGTGTACACAGATTCAACTTTGGTGAGTGTTTGTCAAGTAGGAAGAGTTTTTGGCTTCATTTTGTGTTCTCTACACCACTTATGTATACATTGTTGTCTTTTCCCTGTTGTATTGCACTATAACTTTTTCACTTTAAGATGTGCATTTACATTCTTTTGTCATTTTTCTAGGATTTAATTTAAGAATCTAATCCTTTTTGGGCATGAATTCCTGTGTTTCGTGCTGAGTGATGTGATGAAAAATGTTCAATGTTGATAAAATTGAATTGGGGAATTATATTCTGAAGGTGATGGAATATAAAAGCCAAAAGAATATTGTTATAACACAAAGATGATTTTTAAGCAGAACATTAGATTTCTTATTGCTTCCCTCCATTTGCCATCTTCCCCAATAGTTATCAACAATTTGAAAATTATCAGTTTTACAAAGAGCACCCCGTTTGCAATTTAATTGGTGGTCGAGTAGATAAGATATATTCAAATATCTGTGGTTAATCGAGTAATTAAATCTGTTTATGATTTTCTGATTATGAACATTGTAGACAGATATTTTAGTGTTTCTGATTATTTTCCCTTTGTAGGCACTGAAAAATTAGGTGAACTTGTTTCTGCGGTTATGCAGAGGATTGGTGCAACAGATGATCAAGGTCAACCTCAACTCTTGGTGAGTGTGGAAGAATTTGAGAAATCATTTGATTGTTCTTTATCAACCTGTTATTTCCATCTTATGATTATTTCTGCTTGTCGTAGTATGAAGATGATGAGGGGGATAAAGTTCTTCTGTCGACTGATGGTGATCTTATTGGTGCTGTTAGTCATGCCAGATCTGTGGGACTAAAGGTCTGCATACTTTTTGTTTTGCTTATGTTTTTGTACAAATGTCAATTATTGTCTGTTCTACTGTTTGTGAATAGATATAATTGAAACCTATCTTAAGTAACAGGCCACTACCTTTTGTTATGCTTACCACACTATTTCACCTTTAGTCATATCTTTTACTGATTGGATGTTACCTCTTCTCTGGACTTGTTTCTTAGGCATTCTAGACAAATGATGTGAGGGACAACTCTAGGGACTGGATCAGTTAAACTAAACCTATGTCTTTCCTGATTTATAACATTAGAGGGCGAGTGGATTCTTTCTTTGCCAACTCAATGTGGACAACCAGAAACGTGAGAGATCAGATTGAATAAAGTAGAGTTGAAATAATGAGAGAATCTAGTGACGACGGGATTCACCTGGGCATGTCTCTGAGTGAATCCTGAAGTAGCTAACATATCTGAAATGATCTGAATCCATTATCACTAGTAAAGATCTCAGGAATGAAATAAGGGGAAGAGTGGTTGCTGAAGGAAGAAAAAGATTAGGAGAAAGAAATGCAAGATGGCTGAAAAGTGAAAAACGAACTCTGGATTATCTCTCTTGCCATAAGAATTAGTTAAGTGTTAAAAAGAGTTCATTCAAGCTATTTGTTGATTTGAAAACTCATTGATCTATTAGAAAATATTTTTTGTTATGGTAGCTTATGTAGAAGACTGTATTTATGAAAATTTAAGTTGTGCAAAGATATTTTGAGGATATCAGATGAATCTTCTAGATTGTTGAGTTTGCATTAGGTATATTTTTGACGTTGTTAGTTTCCCAAGCATCTTCAGATTCTAAAAATTGTAAATCACTTTAGGTGATGTAGTTTTGATGGATGAGACCTGAGAGTCAATTCCAAGTTAGAAGGTTAAAAATTTGAAATGTTTGAGGTCATATTAAACATTATAGAAGCAATGGGGCATTGGTAAAAAGTCGAAACATAGATTACAAGTATTTCAAATTTATAAATATTTAGGGACATCTGTCCTTTTGTGAAAACTGATGAACCGGAAGGAGATTGCATATAAAATTTAAGCAATTTGAATAAATGGTAAAATGCATTTTCTTTCCTTCGTGACCATCATGCTCTAAATTGACTGGAAATAACATTGAGAACTTATGGAGCAGAATAATTAGGGTGTAAAAACTGAAAATGGACTTGGGAACATATTAAATGCAGTAAGATGCATAATGGATTCATGCTAGTGTGTGGAGGTAGTGTAATCATGGAGAATCATGCTTTAAAATGGATAAAAATGACCACAATGCACCACCAGTATGGCATGCAAAATAGGTATAATTCATATTATCAAAGGAAATAAGATATTTCAAATTACTTGAAAATAAATTATATGAAACGGTGATCTTTTCAACGATAATGAATGCTTTATGAAAAGATGGCTGGCTATGTGTTCTGACTTCTGACCATCAAACCATGAATGCTTTATATTTTTTGTTCACTGTATTCATTTGCTTTCTTTTCCTCTTTTTTCCCTCCTTTTTTTATTTTCACATGTCCTGGACTCTATTCCAAAAGTTATTCATTGTGTGATTGATGGTATATTCAACAGGAGAGAATTTTGAGGGTTATTCATTTCAGCTGTTAAATCAACTAGGACAAGGGAAACAACCCCTTGTTGATCAAATCCACAAAGTTCCATATTTTTTAAAAATATTTTGAGGAGTCTTGAAGTAGTGAAATCAAAGTTCTGCTTTTGCAGCGTTTCCCTGCAGTGTGTTGAAAGATTGTACTTTTATTAATGTTCTGTATTGGGAGACCTTATTCTAAAACTTGAAGAACACTGGGTTTTCAGGTTTTGAGACTCCACCTGGACTACTCGGATGCATGCCAAGAGAATTCAAAACCACAGCTAAGTGCAGAACCGGTCGAGAAATCTGGAGGCCTCACTGTACCTATTGGGATTTTTGCAGGGGCAGTAGTCTTAACCAGCATAGGTGTAATGGTCTACTTGAAGCGCACAAACACGTGATCGATGCTTTGCATAAACCACTAGTTCAGTGGTTAAGACTGATTAATCTGTCTATTGAATGCCTGATTTTAGAGCCCTTATTGAAGTTAGCGGTTATTTCCATGGTTCAAAACATGGTTCATGTCCATAGTTGATTATAGAAGGAAAATAATCTATGCCAATGAAGGTTGGTTTTCATGTTCTTACCTATCCAAACTCCAAAGTTTTGTTTCCTGAGAAATATTGATCAAGTGTAGTGTGGACTATTGACTATGTAAAAAGGAAGGCCAGTGATTTTGCCAGAACAATTATTAACATCTAGGGTAAAATTGTCCTTCATGAAGTCAAACTTCATATAAGTGTACTTTATTTTCTTATTTGAGCGATTTCCAAAAGACGGATACGCCCTCTGCGCAATGGAGGTATGTTTTTTCTAAAAAAAAGGGGGAGGGAGGGGGGCGAGGGACATATGAACGGCTGGCGCAAGAAGAACACGCCACTTCTATGCGGGATGGCGTGGAATAATCTCGCCCCCTTGTAAAGGGAGGGGAGAAAACCTTCTTCTCTGGCGAAGGGGTGGCGCCAGTTTTGAGCGCCATTTTTGTCCGGGTTGGCAAGCAAACGCTCGCAAACCAAAACGGGCTCCACCCATTTTTTTAAATTTATTTATTTATTTTATTTTTTAATGTATTTAATTAATATCATTTATTTATTTAAATTATTAGTTTAATGAATTTATTTAATTTATGTATTTATTTATTTATATTATTTTATTATTTGTTTGGTAGTTTAATATTTGTTTAGAAAATTTATGTTAATTGGTAGTTAAATGGATGTTGGAAAAAATGTGAAAAGAATTTTGAACGGAAATACGAATGTGGGAAAAAGTTTCGCGTACAAGGCCTTTAAAACAGTAATCGAAGCTGCAAATCGGAAAGATTATGAAGGGAAAGTGAAGCTTCTGGAGTATAATTGGTCCCAATTTCAAACCGTTCTAGAGTATATCAAGAAGACATGGTTAGTGGTGGCGGACAAGGTTGCGCAGGCACGGACCAACACTTATTTTCATCTTGGCAACACCACTACTTGTAGAGTGGAGAGCGCACACAAGTTGTTAAACGAATGGCTCGGCACAACAAGTGCTTCTTTTAAAACGGTTTGGCACAAGATTCACATGTTACTCGAGACACAGCTTACACAAATAAGGTACTGGATTTCGACGTTATATTCTAAAATATGGTTATAATATATATTGTGTGTTTAGTTTGTTTAAGTAATTTTTTTTTCATTCCTCTACAGGGAGAAATTGCAAGAATCAAGGTAGAAAATAAGGAGGCAACACAAGTACCCTTTCTACCAATTGAGATGTAACGTTTCACACTACTGCTTGGATCTGTTGAACAATGAGCTGGAAAGGACACAACAACTCGGAGATGATGTGTTTTGGGAATGCAATCATTACCTGAAGCGAACGCATTCGATCCCTTGTGCATGTATTCTAAAGCGGGTAATGGAGGACAACGATGTTTTGACTCCAAAATACTTACACCAATTTTGGAGCACACTCAACATCGGTTGGGTTGCAGAGAAGGATAGTTCTGATGATGTCCTCTCTTACAGATTGTTGTTCAGGCAGTTAATACCTAAAACCGAATATAAGAATAGTTTTTTAATACTTAACTTTAATGTAATAAAGAAATTGACGTTGCAGTAATGAATGCTTAAATAATTACAAATACGTACTTGATGACATCGCAGCTGCCTCAGGACGGCTAAAGGCACCAATGGAGGCAACACCAAAATGGGAACGAGGCTGACTAGTCTGAGGGAAGGGGTGTGACGAAGTCCCGCCAGAACGATGCTGGGGACTGATATCGTGAAGAGTACTACTAGGACCTCCAAACAAAATGCCCTGCGGGCTGATATCATGAAGAGTAGTACTAGGACCTCTGAAAGAGCACTCTGTAGGCCGACATAATGAAGAGTAGTACTAGAACCTCTAAAAAGAATACTATATGGGCCGGCACGAAGACAGGAACCACCGGGAGTGTAAGCTGAATTCAACCCCGATAATCCAACAAGAGTCTTCCCCCCTCTCCCTCCCCCCTCTCCCCGGGTAGGGTGAACTAGAGTCTGATCATCAGTACGACCAATGGGGTTCAGTACTGGGCTACCTCCAAAATGTATATCCCTTCTCTCAGGCGAAGAATACTCGTCTGACTCATCCTCCTCATCCACATCGTCCCCCCATTCTCAAAACTATCCTCATCTTGTTCTTCCTCTCCCTCAAACTCATCATCATCATCTACGTCGCCGACTCACTAGGTGGTGCAAAGGTAGGATGTACATTTTTCTGTTTCTTTAAGTTTTTATTTTTTTCTATACGATGTTCAGCATATAGATTACGCCTAAATGCATAGCGATTACCAGGTCCCTCAAGAGGCATATCCTATCCTACAAAAGTTTTAAATTTTACAGGTAACTTTAAATAATCTAGATTACATCCCAAAAAAATAGTTTTTATACATACTTAAAAAAACCTAAATAATAAATTATTAATTTAGGTTAATTACTTTAATACATTGTTATATTATTTAAATACCTAATTATATAAAATCTATTATACAATCTTAAATGTTTAATTTATTAAATCTACTAAATACAAGTAATAATAATTCGAAATATACTTCAACTAATTAAATTATCTACATATTTTATTATTTAATTTTAACCAAAATATAATCTAACTTTTTTTTGCATTTAAATAATCCTTATTTATTTAGTTTTCATATACTAAATATTTAATTTCTACGTATCACATATTTTTTGAGGCTAATTACAATTAAACTAACTAATCCTACAAATAAATTTTCAATAATTAAATTAATTATAATAACTTTCATAATTTCCCAAATTAATTTAAATATGAATATTATTAATAAATTATTTACTTTAAGATTAAACATGTTAATAAAAATATTTGCTAAATAAATTAAACTAATAAAAACAAATTCCTAAGATTTATAATTACTAATTATAACAATTAAATTAAAATTACTAATATTTACTCCACAAAATAAATAACAATTAAATTAAAATAAATAAATTACAAAAAAAACTAAAAAAAAACATACCCGACGCCGACACAGACTAGCGTCGAATAATCTCGCCAGGCGCCGAGATATTTCTCGCCCCACCCCGAGAGGGTGGCGAAGATCCTCGCCCCGGCCGACGAGAAAACTGTCGCCGGGGCAAGAAGAGCCGGCGCGGAGATCCGCGCGACAGAGCTAGCGCAGATCTCTTGCGCCAGCTCTTCTTGTCCCGGTGAGGTTTTCCATCGCCGGCCAGGGCAGTGTTTTTTTTTTAAAAAAAAAAAATCTCGCCACTCCTAACAGAACTGGCGCGGATCTCTTGCGTCGGCTCTTCTTGCCCTGGCGAAGTTCTCCATCGCTGGTCGGGGCAGTGTTGTTTTTTTTAGAAAAAAGAAATAAACTTCAAATTTAAATTTAGAACTCAGATTTGAATGTTCCTTGAGTTTCCGTGCTTCTTTCCGTAGCCGTTTCATTCGTTTCGCCATTAAATCTGAGTTTTTTGGTTTTAGGAATGAGAGAATTTGAAACGAAAAATTGATTTAGGAATTGAAAGAATGAAATTGAAATTAAGTATTTATAAAATTTGGTAGGGACAAAAAGGTTTTTTGGTATTAAATTAAAATGCTCAAAGAAAAGAATTAGGGCGCTTGACATTCCCCACTACTAATAAGCAAAATCACTGGCCGAAAAGGAAGTAAATATTACCTCTGCCCCAAAAGAGGAGTCAGGTTTGCCGAACTAAAAGTAGTGTATGTTTTAACATCTGAATTCCGCACATGTATTTTCTATGTTGTTGATCTGATTGGACACGGAGGGCAACCTTTTTGTGTTGAAAGCTGTTGGAACTTGGACGCCATTTCGAGTTGGTTTGGATAACGTCTGATCTCAACCTATTTCTCACTTTATCTTGCTTTTTAATATTTGTTCTCTGCGCACGGTTTACATTTTGAATTCTCTTTTCTAAGAATTTGTAAGAGAAATTTTCAGCACTCCTACACAAAAGGAATAGAAAGTGTTCTTCCTAGACTAAAAGTTTTGGTTGATGCTTATGAATAATGTTAGATGGATAATTGGTCGATTTTCTTTTTTTTGGATTTGACTTATATACTCCCTCTTTTTGCTAAATGATTTTGGGCAGTAGTTTTATAAACAGAGTGAGTAGATGCTTGTATTCATTTTCTTTCATATATATTGCTTACTCCCTACCGTCCTTATTATAATGAATTTTGATTTATCCTAAGATTCATTTAGTATGTTATTCTAATCAAAAATAAAATTTTAAAAATATTTTTTTTTATAATAATTGAAAGAACATAATAAATGTAAAAATATATTTTAAGATTTTATTCTCAAATAAAAGAACATATTAAATGAAATTCAAGACAAATAAAAATATCTTATAATAAGGACCGAAAGAAGTAAAAATCATTCTTTTATATAACCAGACTACCAGAGTCTTCAAAATGGACATTAAATTGTACAAATAAATAATGGTTGACTATTGCAATCCAAATTTAAGTGATAATAGTAATAATAATAACGAGGTCAATGTAAGAACACTCAAATGAATAATACTTGCAGATTGAATATAATAGTTGGTATATGTACAAAATTTTACAAAAATGAATATTGCGAGGAATGACAATCAAAATTACAAATTACCAAAAACAAGTTTAGACAAATATGCATAGTAAATTACAAAAGATTATTTGAAATGAGTACCAACCAAACAGAATATTAGTTATTTTTCTAATTGAAGAATATTAATTAATTTTAATTTGTTTGTTTGAACTTTGAAGTAAAGGTCATTACTTTTTTCATTCGAAAATGATTATCTTGTTTGTTATACTAAAATACAATAACAATTCTTATATTAATGTTATTTAACCTAAAAAACTTAATAGGAAATTGAATAAGAGACTAGTGGTTAGGTTGTTGTATTTTTTGGTATTAGACCAGGTTCAATTTTTAACAAGGGATATGTGAGGATGGAATTTACTCACGTTTTAAGTGCAATCCACTGGATGGACTTTTTTAAAAAAAAAACCCTAAAAATTTAAATAAATGAATAATATCTATAGCCAATTATATTTTTAAAAAAACGCTAACCTCAAAAAGGTAAAGTAGGAGAATTATTCAAATTTTCTGCTTTACTAAATGGCAACATCTTTTACTTCATAGATTGTGTGGGGAGGTAGGAATTGCAGGAAGTACAGGCAAATTTGAAGAAAAATGTTTGGCGAAAGCGAAAATAAAAAAAGTTTTAAAATATATAGTTAAACTTTTTTAAAAAACCATGTTTCCTTTGTAAATAGCGAGAGGGCGACTGTCCGTACGGGTTTCCCTTTCTGCGCTATTCTTTACAATTTTTAAACAATGAATGAAGGTGTTAGGACAAGAAATGAAGAAAATTTGACTAAAAGACAGTAGAATATGTCAAATTATGACCTTAAATTTTTTTTTATAAAGAGCGATAATTTATTTGTTAAAAATTATAAAATAAAAGATAATTTGAATTGACAATACCACCTTATACCATCCTTATTGTTCATGTTAG